CAGCTCAGGGAGCCGTGTACCTAGACAGTCCCCCTCTGAGCACCACTATGCCATCATAAGTGTATCCACTCTCTTAGGTCGCTTGCATGTAAGCGGGAAAAACGGACCCTGTAGAAAAGTTCCATCCACAGTATGAGTGAGAGCTTCATGTCGATGAGTGATGCGGCATCGCGGCACGCGCTCGCTGCTCGAGCAGGAAGTAGCATTAAGTGCGTTAAGGACCTGGGTAAGGGAGCGTGTACAAGTGTGTGTGTGTGTGTGTGTGCGTGTGTATCGTCGCTTCCGCCACTTTTGTTACTCGTGGTCTCTCTGTTCCCCACCCTCTCTGTCTGTGATATCACCCCTCTTAACACCACCACCACCACCACCACCCTCAATCACAACTGACTACCACCAACCGTCACCGCTATCATCATCAACAGCGTCCTCGGGTGCCCGACGGCCGAGGAGTGGCCGGCATTGCCGTCACTGCCGCACTGCGATCTCTTGGAGGGAAACAACCGCCCGCTCAGTCCCTTTTCGCACTCGTTTCATCTCAACGCCGAAGACGCTCACCTCTTGAACGTATGCATGGACTGAATCTTGTGACATCACATGGCGTTGTCTTGTTGCAACGTGGTTCCTCTGGTCTTCGTACTGCATGTGACTCACACTATCACCAAATGTGCACAACACACACGCACACACACACACACACACACACGCACACACACACACACACACACTCACACACACGCACACACACACACACACACAACATGTCGCATTGCGCGTGTAGGCGCTGGTACGGTACAATCCGGACGAGCGGATGACGGCGGAGGACGCAGTCAACCTGCCAATGTTCGATCTTGTCAGGGCTTATGACGAGTAGCCGATACACATGCACACATGCACACACAGTGTGCGTGGTCTGGGCATACCATTAAACGACTCTGAACGACAAGACATTCTGGCACTGCAGTGCATCACTGAAGACGCGTTCAGTGGCGAAGAGATGGAGACTGAGCCGGGAGTGATTGTGTGCAATGTTCGCGAAAGACAGGTAATGTGTATTGTTGTTGTGTATTGCGTGTAACCAAATCAACTGTCACGACAAGTCTCATACTGGCTGACCAAGAAAGCAAAGGACAGGTAAACATCGCCATGAACGTGTGCGAAACAGCGAAGCAACCAACACGAAGTGCGGGCCACCGAAACAAGACATGCGGGAGTGGGTGATACGTGGAATAATAATCGCCATCGTGCCAAAGCGAAGCGACCACGACCAGCCAATGGAACAATGGAACAAGGATCAAGCATACACCAAACGGTAATACACTGGCCAGGGGCTGGCGAAGGCAAGCGCTACAGACACAGCCACTCGCGACCACAGAGACACAGCCACGGACACACACAGAGGCACGGCTTTAGCTTTGACGAGGGTGCAGTTCATCAGGGGTGGTATCACACGCATCATCATCATCATCGCCATCATCATCATCATCATCATCATCATCAATGCTGCACGTGCGTCCACTGCTCATGGCGCCACCGAGCCTGCCCGCCGTTGGCGGCAAGCGAACAATATCCATCAGATCTGCATCTGGCTCGCGCATTGATTTGGGCAGATATTGCATTATGTACTGGAAGGTCGCTGTTCGTCGCTCGAAAGCTGTGCCATGATTGACAGGGGGAGAGAGGGCATGTTGGATGATGATGGTGATGATGATGGTGATGATGATGATGATGATGATGATGATGATGATGATGATGATGATGATGGTGATGATGATGATGATGATGATGATGATGATGATGATGATGATGATGATGATGATGATGATGACGACCGGTTGGAAAAGCAGACTGGGAAGCATGGAGGGGTGAGGGAAATGGAGAGAAGTAGGAGGAAAAGGAAGGGTAA